TGAGAGTAGAGATGAGAAACAGAAGGAAGGGAAATAGGCAAAAAGGAATTGTTACCTTCTCTAGCCATCTGGATAAAGAAGAAGATAGGTGTGATGATAAAGCATATGTGAAATGTCAATGCCAAATAAACCAGATCCCCAATGTCCACAGACTAAGAGAAGAAAATATGTTTTAAGGGAAAGATGAAACATGGAGCACGAGGAAATAGGTTCAAACAGAGGTAAACTGAGGGAATGGAGGACCACATCAATATCCCAGTTCAGAAACCTAGGCTGTCTGGGGGGACAACAAATCCAGAAGGAATGCATTAACATGGTAAGAACAGGGGTAGTAAAAATTCAACAGTATCGGAAAAAATGAAAGGTATGGGATAAGGCAACCCAATATCAAAGAGACTGAAGACCTTGGTCAAAAAGCCATATGAGAAACTCAATCACACAAGCCACAGTAGGTTGGTCAGTAGGGAATCCCAGAGTAGCAGACCATCTGTGTAACACCTTCCATTTGTGCTGAAACACCTTCATTGAAAAATGGCATATGGAATGAACCAAAAGGAAAGCTATTCAACTAGAGAAACCTGATCTCCTCGTCAAGGACTGGATAAAAGTCAGGCATGAAGATGAAGGATGTGAATGACAGGATGGAGAACTGGTGACTAAGGTTGATGAAGAAGGAGGGAGACAAGAGAAGGGGTACTGGAGAGAAAAATTGCAGTTGGTGTGATCATGGAAACCATAGATGAGCTGGCCAATAGAGAGTGATCAGAAGGACTCAACATGGAGTGATATGGATGAAACAAACCACCTGATGAAGTAATTGGATAGAAGGATAAACATAAAGGAATTTGTGGGGCCAATCCTGGCTGAAGGCATCAGCCGCCAGAGCCCCAGGATGAGATACATGAGACCAAAAGAGGGGAAATTTGTGATTGAGAGCTGTGGCAAATGCATCTACATGTGGAAAAGTGCACAGATTGCAGAGCCACAGAATATGAGGGGATCTAAAGACCACTCTGTCAGATAAGTTTTTGTCAGAGTGGAAAATCAACTATGAGATTGAAAGAACCCAGAATGTGACACACAATGAGATGAGTGCAATGTGTGTGTGGGCCCAATATAGGAAATCTAATGTATGAAAACAGAGAGATCGTGACTAGGTGCCCCTTGGTGATTGTTATGTGCTACCACCATAGAATTGTTGGAATGAATCATCACCAAACAATGTCTGGCAAGAGGAAGAAAGTAATTCAAAGTCCGATGGATTGTGAGAAGCTTGAGGACGTTGATGTACAAAGACTGCTCATCGACAGACCAACAACCCAAAGCCTTCTGGTAATTGACCCATGCACCCCAGCTCTGAAGGAATGCATCCATGAATAGAGGAGGAGGAAGTGGGATGTCTGCCAACATATGGGCCTTGTCCAACCACCAAACAAATCATCCAACAGGTATGAGGAAGGGTAATGGGAGCTGCCAAGGTATCCTCAGCAAGGTTCCATTTATCATGAAGAGTTCACTGAAGGGATCACATGTGTGCAGAACTGAGGAAGACCAGTAACACCATTGAAGACCACATCCCCAAAAGCAATAGAACCTCGTGAGCAGTAAGTGAGGGAGCTGAAAGGGCATGACAAATTAACAATTCCATGGAACGAAGGCATAGATGAGAAGTTTGGGCTTGACTGAGAGTAGTGTCAAAAATGATAACTATATGAACAAGATATGGGTAGAACAAAGGAAGGAATTCTCTAATTTGATTTACCAACCCGCCCGAGAAGCCATGTGAAGGAGCTGACGAATAATGCTGGCTGACTACAGTTGTCCATATAATGTTGGAATCACAGCCCCAGTGTATGAAGATGGTGAGCAAAAGCTCTGACCACCCAACAGAAAACATAAGGGGGAAAGAAAGCCCGATGGGTAAGACACTAAATTGGTACACCACATCGTGAGGATGAACCAAAGATATGGACAAGACTGTTATACGGATGTGTATAAAAGCATTGGCGACATCCATCTTGGTCACCCATAAGCCCAGAGAAAACGCCCACCAGAGGGTGAGAAATGACTCCATGGTAAAACAGGGCAGTTGAACAAATCAATTGAGGTGGGACAAATTGAAGACAGGCCTCCAGTCCCCAGTTTTCCTTATAGCCAACATATGGGCCTTGTCCAACCACCAAAGCAGATCATCCAACAGGTATGAGGAAGGGTAATGGAAGTTGCCAAGGTATCCTCAGCAAAGTTCCATTTACCATGAAGAGTCCAAGGGATCACATATGTGCAGAACCGAGGAGGACCAGTAACACTATTGGAGACCACATCCCCGTGGTGTTGTATGGAGAACAGGCTTGATGGCCTTTTGAGATAGTAGGTCTTGAACTGCCTCTGATAGACACTGACTGGTCATTGGACCCCAAGGCAAACGGAAGGAAACAAGCATAGGAGATGTGGGAGCTGGGGAAAGAAATAGGTTCACGAATCCTTCTGATAAAACTTGAAGAACCCAATGATCCTTGAAAAAATGACACCATAGATGAAGAAAATCGGCAAGTCGAGCACCCACCAGACCAGAACCCATCAGGTAGTCACCAATACTGTTGGTGACATGACGTGCATCATCAAAGAAAATGACGAGATGAGGCACCCTGAGAAGGAGAGACAGGTAAGGATGGGTTGGGAAGGATGGAAAACTGTAACAGGTGCCATATTGGACTACAACTGAGACAAATGAGCAACAAGGTTGAAAAGGATAGACTGTAGTTGTACTGATGCAACTCGTGACACCAAGGACTCGGGGATCGTGTCAAACATGTAATGCTGCAGAAATGGGGCCCATATGCAATTCCCGAAGATAAGATGCTGGTAAATAGATGTGAATTACGGTCACATCCAGACTGAGAAAGTCCCAACAACCATGTATGCAAAGCCATGGCTGAAGATGACAAATGAGCCAATGTGGAGGAAAGAAAGGAGAGGATGTCACCTGAAAACCCCTCAGAATTTTGGTGGAGAGCCTCAGAGAGGAGATGGATGGTAGAGAGATACCAAAAAAGAGTTGTGAGAGTAAGACAAAGGCAGAAAAAAATGGGCATTGGTCAGATATACAGGAGATTTGGAGACTGCACCCGAAACAGGTAAAATAGAACCTACCAATTGTTGGTCTAGAAAAGGACAGTCAGCATGATGATATGCAAGAGCAAACTGATTCAAAGCCCGTGGGAGGGCATGCTAGTCCCGTCACTTAATTGTGAAGCAAATTGGTAAACATGTACCATAATATCAGGGGAGGGGAAAAACCAAATAGGGATGTCATATAGTAAGAGAGGATGGGGTTCATAGGAAATAGGGGCAAGGGATAAAACATAACATACCTGAGAAATGAAATCCAAAATGACCATATTAGACCTAACTGAGTCCTCAGGAGGGGCATGGCAAGGCACAGCAAAATCAAGAGGTTGTAAATGATGATTCAAGTCCTCGTCAGCCTTAACAGGCTCAGCATGTCCAGGAGGAAGTGTGGCAAGGTCTGGAGATAGAGGTTGACCCATGCCATGTTCAATCTCTCTGTGAATAAATGCTGATAAATCACCCGCTGGGTTGCTCACACCTGAGCCTGTGATATATCGTTAGTCTATGGTGTAAGCCCCAAAGTGGTGATGCATGATGATTTGCATGAGAGACATCATTTGATTCCAATAGGGGGAGCAGAAGGCTTGTAGCATTCGTAAAGAAAAATTTTAGCATATAGAAGGCAGTACTGGTCGATAATAGCTACTCTTGTGAGTGGATCAAATACTGTATTGGAAGAATATGACAGGCTGTAGCCTGAGTGCTAGATTATTGGCACAAGGTTTTTTCAAGAACTGTATAAATCATACATAGATTTTTTTTCATAATTTTCCAGTTGAAAAATGTATACTTAAGAAAGCCTAGCCCATAAAGACAAAAGTAAAAATATTTAAATAACAAAATATAAATTGATAAATAGCAAATAATAACTTCATATAAGTGCATCAACTGTTACATTTATAGAAGATCAAAAATTTGATTATTCATTTTTTATACAATCTTATGTCTGCATTATCTCAAGATAAGTTCTTAGGGACTGAATCCATTCTCCTATTAGGTTCATATACTTCATCAGACAAGGATAACGAAGACACAAATTATGTGATGAAAAACAAGAACATTGTTTGTTTGTTTGAAGTTAAGCATAAAGCTACACAATGGTTATCTGTGATCTGTCCACCAAAGAGATAGAAACCAGGTTTATAGCATTGTAAATCCACAGACATACCGCTGTGCATCTGGAGGCCAAGAACATTGATCTTACACTTTCATTTGTATATTCTCATCAATTCCTGTAGAGGAAACATACAATTTGTTTTTTTCAAGAAGTTTTAACATTCTTTCCTTTGACCTACTACAGGGTTCTCCATGAAATAACAAATTCTTCATAACCAGTTATATTTGGAAAAACATCATGAAAGAAAAAATTAAGATGCTTTGAATTTATCACTCATTCAGTCACACAATAAAAAAATAAGTATTAGAACAAAGCATAGAGAAAAGCTAACTGCCCTGTTAGAAAAATAAAGTTGTCTTAGCTGAAGACAACTCTACTTTGCCAAACTTTATATTTGTATCCCCTAGTCCTACCGTTGTCATCATTAAATATAAAAAAGACAATGCATCAATACTATCAATTACAGCAAAGCTACTAAGGCTATCTACTGCCATTCATAATTCTGAACTACTGACCAAATCAGCACTCTCCCACCCATATACTATGAGATTCACTGTCATTCTTATAACATACTCACAGCTTGTAGTATGGAGAATGTCTTGTGATATCACATGGATTCAAACCCCAGCTTCAAAATGAAGAGCTATACCACGAGACCAATGTGCACCATATGTAAGTGAAATACACATTAAATTTTTAAATATAAAAAAAAATAAGTAAAGCAAAAATAAAGATATTTGGTAATAAATACCTGTAATGAACATCTGTTTTCTGCACATCGTCTAATCCACTTATCCAACTTTTCACATAAATATCACTCATTTGCTCACCCATAATATTTGTTTCTGTTAGTAAAACATCATAAGTGTTCCAGATCACAATCCTTAAGAAAAATCTAAAAAAAAAATACAAATTTAAACAAACCGGATATTTTTGATAAAATAATCAGATTATATATTTTCGTTTTGAATAAATTAACACAAATATATCAGACACAATGTCAAGTGATCGGATTTAATGGTTTTATTTCAATAAAAATATGTTATTATAGTGACAAGAATACATGTAGACTATTCTTTTATTTAGCAATACTTATAAATTACAATATCAATTACATTAAGTAAGCATAAGCTTTCTCTAGAGATTTTATATCTTGCAAAATAAAAACAAGCAAAGAAAATAGTAACACTATTAAATTGCAAACATAAATATAAGAAATTAAAATTGAAATCATTTTTAGATACACATCGCAATGGTATGAAGAAAATGCACAGTGAAAAAATTTTGCCAATGTTAACTTTGATGTCTTATATAGTGTGCCAACACATTTAAGTACAACTTGTACAGGTGTCACATAAAGGATTCAGTTACATCAAAGTGAATTCAACCCATTTCAGTTGATTTTAGTTTCAAGTTAAATTTGATATAAAATACACAGAAGACATTTTGCAAAATTAATTTCTTGATTTGATTGAATAGTTTGTGAAATTTCTAAACTCTTTATGTACACACATTCCGTTCACTAAAGGAATGAGGAGGGGCTAAGACACGTTTCTTAAGTTAACATTTTCCTAAATTGAAAATGTTATTTCCAAAACATACTTACCTCCACTGTTACTATTGCTATTTCTTGATCTCCAGGGTTTCCACTCTCTGCCCATCTAAGCATTGAAAACACTTGCTCCAGTTATTTATACTCCACACGAATGCCCTTGGCAAATTCTAATTTGCAAAATTCTCCACCAACTTCATTGTGCTCTCTATCTAGGTACTGTATATATGCACCTCATTCAGATAATGTAATCACTTTTTCAAGAGATAAACTGGCTTTTAGTGGAAAGTGAACCAATTGGGTTATTTTCGAGGGAATTTATAGAAGTTTTTATTAATCTAGAAAGTTTAAGAATAAAATTAAATTAGTAGTTGTATTTTTATAAGCAACTATGACACGTGGATGAACTAGAAAAACAGGGTTAAGCTACGTAAGAAGCATTGCCTAGAAACGAGATGAGTGTACTAGAAGTTGTAACAGGTTGACGAATGGTTTACCTCAACCCTATAGAACTAGGAAAGCTACAGAAAAGTTTGGGTTAGCAAGCGATATCGGTGCTTTGAGGTGATATCACTTAAGCACATGGGTGTAGCAGTACAAGTAAATAGGTGACCGGCTAACACAACCTAACTGTAACCAATTACTTGAGAGTTTTGATTATGGTTTTGGAACAGCCCGGGGATTCCCCTAAAGCAGCCAATATGATCACAGGACTACTTGCGGGTGATGCTGTGTCATATTTAGATGCTCGAGATAATATACAAAAATTTGCTTTATAAACCTATGTCAGAGGCTGACAATCAGAGTTCTTCTGGAATTCAGAAAAAGCCCTCTGAATTACCAAAGGTTATTTTGACAACATGAAGGTTTCCAATGTTATTCGATTTCCAAACACAACACCATTGTAAGTATACTTTACTGTTCTCTCTCACTCAGTTGATACCAATATTTTATAAAATGTTATGTTGAAATATATCTATGTGTATTAATGAAAGTGTATACTGAAGATATTATGTTGAAATATATCTATGTGTATTGATGGAAGTGTATACTGAAGATATTACAAGTATTTTAATCGAGTTAAAAGCCATTTTATGTTGTTTGTCATAAAGGAAGTTTTGTCTTTATTAACTGTTAGTTAGATGAATTAATGATTAATAAAAGTTATTGTAAGTGTTCACCATTAGCCTGAGACTCTAATTCTTTAGTCTAACTGTAAACTACCTCTAGTTAGCGATTTGTGGCTCCATTCGTCACGACAAATCCTCCGATAAATAAATTTGGCGTAACAAGTAGTTTTAATTGAAACTCCAACAACTAAGCTCAATAGGGCACTACTCCTTACAGCTGGCGCAGTCTCGAGGATTTTTGGAGTAGCAAACGACAGGATGATTAGAGTAAAGAAAGTCAGCAAAAGTACTATAAGTAGTGTAAGTTAGAAATAAGTAATTATGGCTACTGCTGGTGTAGATACGACTACAGAAGAGGGTGGTGCATGCCCTAGAGTCGATAGAAGGGCTGATGCTAACCACAAAGCCACAGCGAAGCAATCCACACAAATAGGGCCATGCGGTGCTACACACTTAAGTGCCATACCACTGTATCATGGTAGTGCAAATGAGGATGTCGAAAGCTTTATTGATGCCTTAGATGAAGCAGCTAGAATATCGGGTTGGATTGATGCCCAGAAAGCTGATATATCATGTCTAAGAACAGCAGGAGAAGCTAAAGGTTACATTAGGGCTTATGGTGAGCTGCGTGAAACAACAGACTATCAATATCTAGTGCGTAAGCTAATGGAAGAGTATAGGACACAAGAAACTACTAATGTAATCTTCAGAGAAATGCATAAACTATATCAACAATGTAGCAAATCCATCCAAGTTTTGGACATAAGCTGCAGGAGTTAGGTAATAGATTGTACAGGACTTATGCACATCCAAGCAAGGATATGCTGCAAGATACTCTAAAATCTGAGTATGAATGAGGGCTATACAATAATGTAGCTAGAGGATATGTAAATGAAGCAAATACTCCTCAAGCAACTTTACTAGATTTAATTGAAGTAGTTACTCGAGAAGAGCTACGAGAAAAGCAGATCTATAAGCTTAAGCATTCTGCTATAAATGCAGTTAACAAGTCTAGCAAGGCTAATCTGTCTAATACACAGAGTAAGCTTGATGGCTTCCAGTGCTTTAACTGTGGCAAAATTTGGCACAAAGCAAGAAACTGCTTTCAAAAGCAGAAAAGAAACGAGCAGATAGCATGTTATAATTGTGGCATTACAGGCCACATGGCACAAGATTGCCAACGCCCACAGAAGGCTGAAAATGGAATAGCCACAAAAGCTGGAGCTTACAGAGGAAAGCTTCCCAATAATAACAGTAGCCCTACCTTCATTACAGATTCAAAAAATGTAATCACAGATGGGATTACAGAGCAGTCGAGTATTCATAGTATTAATGAAGTATCACCAATAGTTAAAGTAGAAATAGAAGGTATAATATGTCGGTTATTGGTTGATACAGGTGCTCAATTGTTTCTACTAAGTTCAGAATTAGTAGACAGAAATCCAACATTATTAGATAATGCTTGGAAAGAAGTTTCTAGAAGTATTTTAACTTCTATAACAGGACATTCTGTTAAAACGTTAGGTAGATATAATATGCAAATTAAAGTACGAAACTTAGAGTTAAAACACTCATTTTACATCTGTAAGCAGATAGACTTAGATACAAATGATATTATAGGGCAAGATTTCTTAATAACTTACGACACTGAAATATCTCTTACCCAAAGTAAGCTACACATAGAAACAGAGGTCTTAAGTTTGAAGGACTTGAACCTTCGAACTTATGTGCAACAGTTGTGACACATACCTTCCCGCTGACTAATAGTCAGACACCTAATGCTAGCATTAGCGAGGCTAAGGATCAATCGTCAAAATACAAAAGCATTGACTTCTTAATAGAGTGTAGCAACACACGACAAAGTCGGAGGAGTAAGAATAAGAAGTGTCCTAAAGAAAGTTCTAAAAGAAAGCCAAAGGACTGCACAGAAGAACACTAAAGCTAGCAGATGTCATAAAGATAAGGTGAGTGATAGTAAGATAAGGCAGAATAAGTTAGTGAATAAGCCTTTAAAACTGGAAAATAATAATTCAAACCCTTAGATGACTCTACACTTAAGCCTAACATAAGCAACAGAGCATCCCAACAGGAGTGTTTGAAAGAACGAGTTCCTGTAAGGTTAGTTAAACTAACTGAAGTCCCTGTGAGAAGTCA